CCCTGGCATCGGCAAATACAGATGGGTCGAAGGCCAAGGCCCAGTCGGCCTGAGATGTGGAGCGCCGACGTGCCGCTGACTCTTCGTGGAAAAGATAGGCGCTCGGTTGACCAAGCCCGAACCGCGCTGAAATGGCGGACTCGCTGCTGGCAAGCGCAGTGTGCAGGGCTGACTCGAGGCGCTGAAGAGCCGACAATGAGATCACAAGTCCCGAATGCAGAACGAGTGACCAAACGTTGAGCCCACACACTGGCATCAGCGTCAGACCTCTGCCAGGGTGGCCAGCTCGCGGGGCCGGGCTATGGGACTGGGTAGCAGCTGCAGCTAAGCCAGCTTCGGGGGTCGACTCGGCGGCGACGTAACGTGCGTACGAATTACAGGCCATGTGGATGGCGAGTGGAGAATTACGATCTCCAGTGCCGGGGCTGTGAGTGTTTTTCAATGGAGATGACTCTGCAGGAACAGAAGGATGCTCTTCTTCCTCGGGAAATATTAAGTCTGGATCCAGAGCAGAACTAGATAAGATATTGAAAAAAGGAATCATTTAGAGATGGAGACACCTAACTCAAGAGCTTCTAAGATTCTTTAGATTTGTATAACTAGAGGTATAGTAAGCAAAATTAAGGTCCTCGTTGATGAGGTAGCATAGAAACACACCGCATCCTTTATCTACTTGAACTTAATTTTCAATTGCATAATGAATGTACAAAAGCTAACACAAAAATTAGATGTAATATACGAAAAAGAAAAAAGATCTAAATTTTGATCATAAGCCTCAGTAAATCCCATTTCATATGATTTATTCCCAATTTATTGCGCTATAACACAATTGCGATAGTCATTTGCATTTAGAATGATGAAAATAAGTGAATACGGAAGCAGTATGATCTAGTCTCAATAGAGAACCTTAGAGGTAGATATACTGTATTTAATGTATTCTGTTAATAGTCATGACAATGTACAGTATCGACAAATGGGCTCAACAGTGGACCTTACCAGACTTATCCCCAAACTATAACTCGTCAGAAAGACAATTCAAGTG